GCCGCCGCTCAGACCCGTGAGTGCCCGGTCGGCCAAGCGGGGCGCGGCTGTCACAGCCCAGCCCACCATGCAGAGGGTGTCGGCCGGCCTCCTCGTTCTCATGTTCAAAATGGGAACAACAGCGTTATTGGGAGGCGTGGGATTGAGACAATCCCTGTAAAGCGCTTAGCACGAGGCCTGGCATGTGTTCAGGGTGGTGGCTGGGGGAGCCCACAGGCAGGGGAGAAGACTCTGGGAGGGCCCCTCCTCACCTCGGGTTCTCACCTTCCCAGCTACGTCAAAAGCTACCTCCTCCCGGATAAGCAGAGCAAGCGCAAGACGGCAGTGAAGAAACGGAATCTGAATCCGGTTTTCAACGAGACTCTCCGGGTGAGACTGGGACCACGGTGCGGTTCCCCGTTAATGAACAGGACGCCCCTTCCTGCGGGGCGAGGTGGCAAGGGCAGCCTGGAGGATCGGCGGGGAGCCTATTAACTCGTTCTCCAGTGTGTCAGCCTTGTGGTGGGCGTGGTGATAGTCCAGGCCCCCATTAATGCCCTTCGGGGCTCCCCAGAATTCCTTCACGGTAGGAACGCGGTAGGACCCGCCCCAGCCAACTCGCGCAGCATCTACGCGGGCCACCAGCAGTGCTCCGCTAAAGTGCACCTCCTGTCCCCAGTACTCCGTCCCGCAGGCCGAGCTGCAGGGCCGCGTGCTGAGCCTGTCCGTGTGGCACCGCGAAAGCCTGGGTCGCAACATCTTTCTGGGTGAAGCTGAAGTGCCCTTGGACACGTGGGACTGGGGCTCTGAGCCCACCTGGCTCCCCCTGCAGCCCCGGGTGAGGCAGCCAGGCCTCGTGGGGAGACCTGCGGCTCGGGTCTCCTGCATTTACCCCGCCAGGCTCTCCCGCAGCCCCCTCAGACCCCTCCTTCGACAGAGCCTCCCCTCAACCTCTTAACCTCACGGCCCCAGGTGAAGCCGGCCTGCCAAGGCCCCTTCCATGAGGGCACTGGGACCCCTAGGTTCCGCCCTGCAGGCCCCGCCGTTTCTGCTAACCGCACCCCATCCGGGTCTGCAGACCCCACCCTCCTGAGACCCCTTTCCATTAGCCCCTGCTCCACGACAAGCCCGCCTCTCGCAGGTCCCACTCTCTCCCGACGACCTTCCGAGCCGCGGGCTACTCGCCCTGTCCCTCAAGTACGTCCCCGCCGGCTCCGAGGGTGAGTGATAGCCGGAGAGGCCAAGCTGGACACGCCCTGAAAAGCGGGAGACTCCTGTCTCTGGGTTTAGGGGTGGTGGACTTGCGGGCCTGAGCCAAGCCTCTCCGCAGGCGCTGGACTGCCCCCGAGCGGGGAGCTGCACTTCTGGGTGAAGGAGGCTCGGGACCTCCTGCCACTGCGGGCAGGATCCCTGGACACTTACGTACAATGGTGAGGAGTGCTGGCCCTCGGGGCTTCCCTTTCTTTTGACTGCAGTGGAGTGCCCAACCTCCACAAACCCCTACTAATCAACCCTTGATCACGCAGCCATGGCTTTCACCACTGAGCAGGGGTGAGGGGGATGGTTTGAGCAAAGGCCTGGAGTCAGGAAAGTTGAGGACACCTTTGAGGAGCTGCATTTCAGTGTGACTGCCGCCTGTAGGACTTGTTGAAAAGCTGAGGCTGAGGGCTGCAGGGGTCCTTCCGCAGAGAACCTGAGAGGTCAGGCTGTGGGGCTTGGCCTGGAACTTACAGTTCAGTGGTCTTCAAAGTAAGCTTCCAGGGGACTTCTAGGGGTGCCTCCAGGTGCTGCCCCCACCCTTAGAGAGTGAAATGGCCGTGGGCAGATCACTTCTGGGTGTCCACCCTGATGCAGCCAGAGGCGTTCTTTCTTTCAGGTATTGTACTTCTGAGCAACACTGTATTTTGAAGAGGGGGTTCCCAGGCTTTGAAAACCTTGGAAACAGGCCAGGCATGGTGGCTCACGCCTGTAATCCCAGCACTCTGAGAGGCTGAGGCAGGTGGATCACTTGAGGTCAGGATTTCTAGAACAGCCTGACCAACATGGTGACACCCCATCTCTACTAAAAGTACAAAATATTAGCCAGGCGTGGTGGCGGGCACCTGTAATCCCAGCTACTTGAGAGACTGAGGCGAGAGAATCACTGGAACCTGGAAGGCTGCAGTAAGCCAAGACCATGCCACTGCACCCCAGCCTGGGCAAAACAGAGCAAGACTCTGTCTCAAAAAACAAGAAAGGAAGAAAGAAAGAAAAACCTTGGAAACTGCTTGAGGAGGGGTGGTGGTGGAGCAACAGGGAGATAATGAAAGTCACTGAGCCAGCGAGAGTAGCAGAATTGCATTTCAGAGACATCGCTCTGCAGCCCTGTGAATAGGAGTTGTAATTTTTTCTTTAGTATTATTTTTTTTAAGACGCAGTCTCGCTCTGTTGCCTAGGCTGGAGTGCAGTGGCACGATCTCAGCTCACTGCAGCCTCAGTTTCCTGGGCTCAAGCGATTCTCCTGCCTCAGCCTCCCGAGTAGGTGGGATTACAGGTGCACACCACCATACCCAGCTAATTTTTGTGTTTTTAGTAGAGATGGGGTTTCACCATGTTGACCAGGCTGGTCTCGAACTTCTGACCTCAGGTGATCCACCCACCTCAGCCTCCCAAAGTGCTGGGATTATAGGTGTGAGCCACTGTGCCCAGCCAGGAGTTGTAACTTTTAAAGCCAGGAGACCTGAGAGGAGGCTGCTGCAAAGGTCCCAGGGCAGTGAGGGTCTGAGGTCAGGCAGGCAGGAGCCAGGGGACACAGACATATGTGAGGGAGAATGAGTGGGACATGGTGACTGGATGACTCTAGGGAGTGTGAGGGGTGGTCACCTGATGCCAGGCCACCTCCCGCACAGCTTCGTACTGCCTGATGACAGCCGGGCCAGCCGCCAGCGTACAAGGGTTGTGCGACGCAGCCTCAGACCTGTGTTCAACCACACCATGGTGTACGATGGCTTTGGGCCTGCCGACCTGCGCCAGGCTTGTGCCGAGCTCTCCCTCTGGGACCATGGGGCCCTGGCCAGCCGCCAGCTGGGGGGCACACGCCTCAGCCTGGGCACTGGTAAGTGGGGTAGCTCCCTGAGACAGGCCCTGGGAGATGGGGGCTCAGCGTGTGGCCCTGGATACCTCTCTGTCCTTTCCTGAGCTTTGATATCTACTGAGAACTGAGGGTGGTAATGGGGGACAGTGCATAATCTGGGACCAGGCAGATTATGTGTTTGGGGGCCCCAAGGTGTCCAATGTGATCATGCCCTCAACCCCTGCCCACCCACATCCAGGCAGCAGCTATGGGCTGCAGGTGCCCTGGATGGATTCCACACCAGAGGAGAAGCGGCTGTGGCAGGCCCTCCTGGAGCAGCCGTGCGAGTGGGTGGATGGCCTCCTACCCCTCAGAACCAACCTGGCCCCCAGGACGTAGTCCGACCAAGCCTCTCTCTCTGGACCCCCATCTCAGGGCCTGCCCTTGGCTAAAGTCAATAAAGTCTGCTCTAGGGGCAATAAAAGGCTGGTGTCTGCTGGGGCAGGGAGGAAGAAAAGTGATTGCAGGAAAGAGCCAGGGAAGTAAGAGGGGCCAGATTAAGGAACTTTAGACTCCGCCACAAAGACTTCAGAGAAGCCAGGCACAGTGTTTCACACCTGTAATCCCAATGCTTTGGGAGGCTGAGGCAGAAGCATCACTTGAGCCCAAGAGTTCAAGACCAGTCTGAGCAACATAACAAGACCACATCTCTACAAAATTCTAAAAATTAGCTGCAAGTGGTGGTGTCACATGCCTGTAGTCCCAGCTACTCAGGAGGCTGAGGCAGGCAGATTGCTTGTGCCCAGGAGTTTGAGGCTGCAGTGAGCTATGCCACAAAGCAAGATGTTATTTCTACAAAAAAAAGTCTACAAATTAGCTGAGTGTGGTGGTGCACACCTGCGGTCCCAGCTACTCATGAGGCTGAGGAGGAAGGATCACTTGAATCCAGAAGCTTGAGGCTGCAGTGAATATGACTATGCCACTGCACTCCAGCCTGGATGACAGAGTAAGACCTTGTCTCTAAAAAAATTTTTTTTTTTTTTTTTTGAGATAAAGTCTTGCTCTGGAGTGCAATGGCGTGATCTCGGCTCACTGCAACCTCTGCCTCCTGGGTTCAAGCGATTGTCCTGCCTCAGCCTCCCGAGTAGCTGGGATTACAGGCACAAGCCACCACACCCAGCAAATTTTTGTATTTTTAGTAGAGACGGGGTTTCATCATGTTGGTCAGGCTGGTCTCGAACTCCTGACCTCGTGATCCACCCGCTTTGGCCTCCCAAAGTGCTGGGATTACAGGCGTGAGCCACCACACCCGGCCTAAAAAAAAATTTTTTTAAAAGACCTAGGAGGCTCTTCCCAGGGTACCCCTCCCCCCATACACCTCCAAAATTGCCAGGACAAAGGTTCAAAAGTGTTCTGTTTAATACGTTTTGTCTGGTAGTGCTTGGGCGCCTGTGGTTGGTTTCTCTCACTGGAACCAGTCCTGGCCCCCACTCGCCTGGCTTCCTCCAGTCACCCCAGGTCCTGGGGCTGGTGTGTCAGAAGCTGCCTTTGTCCTCTCCATTCATCCATCCTTGGATCTGTCTGGCCTCTGATGCCCTCATTCAGCCTCTCGGGCTCCAGGGGTGACTGGCGTGGATCCTGCTCGCTGTGCCAAGATGGCCCTCCAGATGCGGCATACCATCCCTCCCCTGGGGGTAATGGACTCTGTGTGGCTCAGCCGGAAGGTGGCCCTGGACTCTCTCTTGCACCCACTGTCTGCCCAGTGCCCCCTCTGTCCTTAGGAGACCCAGGTGCCCCTTTGGTTTCCAGGAAGGAACCTAGGCAGGCCTGCAGTTGGCCAGGATGAGGCCACATGCATGGTTCACCCTTGGGGGACCCAGGACGTACCTGATGCGGGTATAGATGAGGTCATCTCGAGTGGCATAGGTGAGCAGGGTGTGGAGGGTGAAGCTATGGTTCAACAGCTGGATGTGGACAAAGACCCGCAGAAACAGGGAAATAAGAAATTACAGAAAGATGTGTCCAGAGACCCGGGTACTAGCTCTGCTCTGCTGCCAAAATACTGAGGCAGATCACACCCCCCTTCTGGGCCTCAGTTTTCTCATCCATACAATGGGAAGAGAATACTAAGTGTTCTTCCAGTATTGAGATTCTCTGCATCAGAGGGCACAGTGAGAAGAGCGGGCAGACGGACAGAGATGGAGGCTTTGGCTGGTGAGGTCAGGGATAGCCAAGCACTCCCCACCTCACCATTTGGATGGTGCCTGAATCCACATTCAGTTCCTGTAGCCATTGCACCAGGCCCTGGTCCGTTGAAAGAGCGGCTGTCAAGAAGCAGTCAGGTGATGAGCCCAAGAGTGCCTCCTGCTAGAAGCTGCCTCGAACCCACCAATAGTGTTCTCCAGCCAAGGCCCACTCACCTGGGGGCTCTGGGGCCAGGGCATAGGTCCGGACTTCCTCATTCAGCCGCTGTAGAGCCCGCTGCACCAGGGCCTGGTACTCCCGTTCCTTCCCCGCCAGGACTTCCCGCAGCCTGTGGGGCAGAGAAGAGTAGAATGGAGTGGTGAGTGGGGAGTGGGTTGAAGCCCGGCAGAGGCTATGAGCGATTCCAAGGGGCTTTACCGATCAGTCTCTGCCCTCAAGAGGCTCAGCTGCACCATCAGAGGAGCGGGGCCCTGCTCAGGCTCCACTGGAAGCAGGCTCTGCTGGCCTGGGCTCTGCTGTGGCCTCTGCTGGGAGTCCCCTTCTTTACTCAGCTCCTCTGACCTCAGTGAGACCGCCTCCTTCTCCACCTCTGCAGCCGGGTGCCGTGAACTCAGGCAAGGCTACAACGCCTGTTTGGGACCCCCAGACCCCAGCAAGGGCGTGCGGGGGTAGGGTGCCCAGCTCTGGGCAGGCCCCAGGCAGTGCCGGTATGGGAGATGTCCATTTAGTCACGCCCCCACCGGCGCCTGCCTGCCCCTGTCCCGCCTGGCCCCCACCGGCCCCATTAGATGTTCACCGCGCCCAGCAAGCACCACACCCTCGCTGGCAGGAGGCCCGTGGCACTCCCCTCCTACCCGGGCCCAGCACAGCCAGGGCTGCCCGCACAGCACGGCTGAGCAGTGAGTCCAGAACGAACATCCAGTGTGGACGGATCTGGCGCCTGCGGAGGATCTGCTTCACCTGCAGGGGGAGGGAGGGCGCCGCTGAGACAGCTGAGCCTCAACTAGAGGCAGGGCTTGAGTTGGAAAGGCCTAGAAAGTCTTCGGCGGGAGGCAAGTGGGATGGGCGGGCTTGAGGTCCAGGGAGGGGCTGGGAAGCTAGGACTGGGCAGACGGTTTTTTGCTGCAGGCCTGATCTTCAGGGAGGAGACAGGGAATCTTGGAACATCAAGTCCTGGCACCTCCCCAGGCACGGGGAGCTCACTACCTGTTGTTGGGCAGCTCTCACTACCAGAAGGCGCCCTCACCGCATCCGGGAAGGCAAAGAGCGGTCCGTGCAGAAGTGCAGGCCCAAGGCCCTGGGCCCTCAGCCGTCCTTGCAGAGCCCGCAGCTCCTGGGCCAGCTGCCGGCGGTTAGGAGTGTGGATGTGTGCCCCGAGGCATCGCAGCAGCTCTTCCACATAGTTTCTGCCCAGACGGGACCCCTGAGAAGGAAGAGAGGGGTGGTCAGCGAGTGTTCCAGCCAAATGAGACGCTGCCACGGAGGTGGGGTGGTGGGGTGCGGGAACATCAACAGGTGTCCTGACCCCGCGCTACCACCAGGGGGCGCTAGGGTGGGCCGCCCACCTGCTCCTGCTCCTGCTCCTGCTCCTGCTCCTGCTCCTGCTCCTGGTGCAGATTCTCCGCCAGCGCTGGCAGCTCCTGCTCCAGCACCGCGGCCAGCATGGCCCGACGCTTGCTTTCCTGGTGCAGCAGGCTCAGCCCCGAACTCTCCTCCGGAGACGCAGGCTCCTCGGCCGCAGGCTCCTCGGGCACCCTGGGCACAAGGGCGAGCGGCTGATTGAAGACCGGCAGCAACCAGCCAGTCACCTCTGCTGCCGGGTTTGAATTCTGGCTCTCCTACTTTTATGCCTACCTCACAGGGATGGACATAGATAAATCCCGCACTGAGAGGACACAACAAGTCCAAGTTAGAGTTGCCAGAACAGGGCATGGGGAGGCACCAAATGCCACATTCACAAGTGGTCAAGATGCCCAAGTCCCCAAGGAGGGCTTTTGTAGGAGGGGAGAAAAAGGCAAAACCAGGCAAAGGGAACCCATCCCAGGAGCCTAGGTCTCACCGGAGCTGGCTGGTGCCCCCATAACTGAGGCAGCGCTTCGGGGGGCTGGGCGGGTGCTGAGACAGTGCCTGAGGGCGCGGGAATGTCTGAGACTGGGTGGTTGAGTCGGCTGAAGGAATGGGACTGGCGGAAGGGGCATCTGAGGGAGGGACAGAGCTGTCAGCAGGGCCCTCTTCCCCCCTCACAGCTCCACAACTCCTCTGCCCTCCAGTGTGTCCATCCCGCCACCTCCAAGCACCTGAGGGCCGTGGAACATGTTGGGGGGAGCTGGGGCTGCGGCTCCTTTTCCCAGGCTGCAGGAAGGGGTCCCCTAGCAGTGCCTGGGCGCTGGCTCGGAGGCGGGGGTCTGGCTCAAAAGTTCGAAGGAGAAAGGCTTGGGCCTCAGCCGACAGAGAGCTGGGCATTGGTGGATGGACCTTGTACATACCCACCTGTTGGGGGAGGGTGAACAAGGGTGACATTCAGAGGTGTCCAAGGCCCAGGCTGGCCCTATGCCACTTCCATGTGCCAGGCCCAAAGGGGTCTTACCTGAAACATGGCAGCCTGTGGGCTCCCTAGCTCATGGAAGGGGGGGCGACCCGTGGCCATCTCAATGACAGTGCAGCCCAGTGACCAGATGTCAGCTGCTTTCCCATACCCGCGTGGGCCCTGGTCAATGATTTCTGGGGCCATATACTGCAGAGTTCCTAGGACAGAAGCAGGAGCACTGATGCCCATCTAGGCTTTTTTTTTTTTTTTTTTTTTTTTTTTTATTCTTATTTTCTTTCAGCAGTCTATGCACTCAATACCTCGGCTCACTGTAAGCTCCGCCTCCCGGGTTCACGTCATTCTCCTGCCTCAGCCTCCCGAGTAGCTGGGACTACAGGCGCCCGCCACCTCGCCCGGCTACTTTTTTGTATTTTTTAGTAGAGACGGGGTTTCACCGTGTTAGCCAGGATGGTCTCGATCTCCTGACCTCGTGATCCGCCCGTCTCGGCCTCCCAAAGTGCTGGGATTACAGGCTTGAGCCACCGCGCCCAGCCCCATCTAGGCTTTAACATGGGGTTGGAGAGGGGAGGGGAATGCCATCATCCTCAGGTCGACTGCACCCATACTGAACCTATCATCCAAAACGTACCTCAACACCTATCCTGGCCATCAAACATCTATCCTGAGTTCCATCACCACCCGAGGCTCCATCACCTGCCAAGGCTTCCATCATTCACCCTGGGCTCC